AACATTCTGTGATTCTGTGATTATTCTAAATGGTGTTTACTGAGACAAGCACACATCCCATTCTGCTCCTCTGCTGGACTGGTAATTTCTTCTAGCAGAATTACTCTTTCATGGAGTATGATAACCTCTTGCAATGACACAGCTAAATCTATCATCTGTCATTGTCCTTAATAATGAGAACCATGAACAGAAGACTTTTTGTTTATCTTGAAGATAAACAGCTTTGTGTATGTATCAGTAGCTTGAATATTTCTCTGTTTATTCTGATGTTTTATTTATTTCTGAAATGAAAAATAGTACCATTATTTAGGAAAGCTCATTTGTGCTGAAAGATGTTTTTCTTTCTACAAACCCTGTATTTTCTATACACTCACCTCATATTTTAGTTTGTTTTCAGGGTAATGGACTACGTAGGTGGGAAGTCTTGATGATGCAGACTTCTTATCAGATTTTTGAATCAAAAATTGGAGAAAGTGGAGAAGAAGACACGTTGAACTATCTAATGTTATTTCCACATACCTTTGCAATTATCCTAGTGTTAGTAGAATCTACAAGTAGTGTGATTTCATAGTGCTAAACATCTCTTTTTTTTTTTCTTCTAGGAGCGAATGAAAAGACTTAATGAAATTGTTGAAGCTGCAAATACTGTAATCTCTCATATTGATCAGACAGCATTAGCAGTATATTTTGCCATGAAGACTGATCCCAGGCCTGATGCAACTACTATAAAAAAGTACCTACCCAGTAAATAATTTTCTTGCATCCTTCTTCTGTAATTTATGTACTTTGTCTCTGCATATAAGAAATGGAATGAGTATGACCTTCTTGATTAACTTCTGTTACTTTTGAGGGGGCATAGGTAATTTTAAACTTGACTGCAAAATTATTTTGTTCTCTTGAATGCAGGAACACTGAAACCAGCAATTTTTTACTTAAAAATATTAAAGAAACAAGAGTGCTTTCAAGATTTAAATTTTTTAGAAAAGTGGGGTGTTAAGGTGAAGTGGTTTTCTTTTCAAGCTTAATCTGAGATGAGATGGACCACTAGAATAAATCAAGGTGTGTGTTTTCAATGCTTCCTGCCTTTCCATAATACTTTGCAACCTTTTGGATCTGTGTTTGAAGACAAAATTGACAGCAGTCCAAGAAGTAACTGCTCACAAAATACTTTACTTATGAAAAGCTTGATGACCATACTTACTGGTGCTTCACAGTATTTTTGAGACCCAATGTTTAGTTTTAGATGGTTCCTTTGGACTGCCAGTATATATCCTTAGGAAGATAGTATTTTGAGGGTGACACTTTAGTCTGGCAAATAACTGGCTGAAATTGCAGTGTGTGATGTGGTGCTATTTTAGTCACAAATAGACCAGCAGGTTTGACGACTGGGCCCTTAAAACAGGAGATATGTATTTTATTTTTTTTTTAAAGATAAAATACCAGATCTCAAGTGTAAACCTAGTCTGTCTGTTCTAGGTGTCCTTAGTATTTGTGTGTAATTCTAGAATTGCTGATATAGAGGCAAAGCTATGACATCATAAACTTCATTCTAAACATTCCTTGGTAAGTTGACCCATTAGGTCATGTGGTTGAATCTAGCATCTGAAATTGAACACCAAATTCAATGGTGCTTTAAATGGGTGCAGTTCCTTTGAAGTCAGCAGAATTATATCTGCTCATGTTAGTGGTGGATTTGACTCTCTCTGTAATGCCACAAGCTATAAAGCTGTATTTCTAGATGCTGGCTTATTCAGTTTTAGAATCCCAAGTTCTCCTTGCCTTAAGACATCAGAGGCATTTCAGACTTGAAAAAGAATGATTGAGCTTGTTTTATGCAGTATCTCTGTGTAATTTTTTTTTTTTTACATTTAGTTGAGTTTTTAGTAAATAGCCATGCTTTATAAACTAGCTTTATGCTTCTTATATAGTTAATGTGTACTAACTGCTGTAAATTTTTTAGCTTAAACTCACTACAGCACTGATTCTGTCTCTTAATGAGGTGTCCGCAAAAAGTCCGTAGTATTTTTCACGCTGGGTTTTTTTGTGTGTGGTTGTTTTTTTTTTTTTCTTCTAGTGAAATGGAAAAACAGAAGACTACTTTAGTGGATGCACTTTGTCGGAAAGGGAGTGCACTGGCTGACCAGCTGCTTCATCTGCAGGCCCAGGAAGGGGCTGCTTCCAGTGATGCAGAAGGCAAAGATGAGGATCCTGAGAACTGCTCAGAAGCTTTGACAGAGACGTTCTGGGAAACAACAAAATGGACAGATCTTTTTGACAGCAAGGTAGGAGAGCAGAGCGGATTTTTATTTTTTTTTTTTAATTTTTTTTCTCTTGCATGCTGGGTTATTTTATGATTTCTCCTGGAACTATGCACCACTTTTGTGTGAACAGCCTCATACATTCCTCCCTTCTACTTTTTCATGCTGTCCCCATGTGTTGTGTTAATGACCTTTTCCCACAGAGGTTTTGCAAAGCCTGTCAAATCCATGGTAAGCCCTTCTCTGTGGAGAATGTCGAGGTTAAGGGAAGGGTAAAGAACAGTACCAGATGTCCGTGAAAAAGCTGCTTGGTTTATTGAATTGCTTCTTTCTATACCTTACAGGGAATATTTTTGCTTAGCCTCTGTGCTGTTGTAGCTGTGCACACACAGAAGTGTGCAGCATCCCTACTCTGTTCAGTCCTGCATTCTGTAGCCTTTTCTACACTGGACAAGAGAAGTTTTGTGTTTTGCTGTCAGTAATGTGTGTAGAGGTAAAGGAAGAAACCCATGGAAATAGTTATGTTTACATGTTTATTAGCACAGATTTTCCTGTAATTTCAAGGTTCCTCATCCTAAGATTTTTTTTTTTTGTCTACTTCATTCAAGATAGCTATTCCAGAAAAAAAAAACACCCAACAACCAAACAACATCATAGGCGATAAGTTATGCAGCTTTTAATTTACGGGGTTTATGACTGTGTATGTTTTACTCTTGAGTTACTGAGTATTAGTTAGTTGTTGTACTTAACTTTTGTGTATGGCTGTGTTTTAGTGGAGGATGGAGTGACCCAAGTATTTGTTTATAACTCAGTTAAATTGCCAAAGGTAGTTACAAAAGAAAAAACATTGAAATTAAAGCCAATTGCTTAATATTCTTGACAGTGAATAATCTTCCTACTAAGGACTTGTGCTTTAGCTGGAGACTTGAACAAGAAGGTTGATGGTGGTTACTCTCACTCCTTTTAATGTATATTTTCTTGTACACCTACTTCCATCATTCCTTTTTCTAATCTTCAACTGATTATAGTATCCTGTGGTAGCAGATTTTGTGCTTTAGTCATGTTGTCTGGCACATGACTTTCGTACTGTCTGTTTGTACAGTACTATATTCCAGTATGGTGACCCCTGTTTTACTTCTGTCTTTTGATTTTTAAAGCTGATGGGAATCATTTCAGTGGAAAAACTGCCAATGTAGACATCTTGTGGGAGTTTATCGCTCTGTTACTCCCCCCCTTCCCCACTCATCTCAAGACAGGTATTGATTCCTGGCATTCTTAAGCTGTGGGCTCTGGGCCTGCAGTGAGTAACTCTGCCTTAACCATCAATTTATCTGAGTGTGGATTCAGGTTTTGCTCTGAAAATTGATGCTTCATATTGTTAAAATGGTGCTGAAGGGCCAACCAAAAGTGTAGAGAATTGGAAATGTAAAAGTGAGACAACTAGTGAGTAGAGATAAAGACAGTTTAATAGGTAAAGCAAAACCTGCACATGCAAACAAAGCAAAACAACAAATTCATTCCTCACTTCCCATAGGCAGGGAGGGTTTCAGCCAGCTCCAGGAACGCAGGGCTCCATCATGTGTAACGGTGACTTGGGAAGACAAATGCCACAACTATGAATGTTGTCACTCCCACCCCACACCCTTTTTTTTTTTTTTTTTTTTTTTTTTAAGTAGCTACATAAACTATCCTTCCCTCTATCTCGTATTGCTGAGCACAACATCTTATGGAGTGAGATTTCCCTTTGGTCAGTCAGGGTCAGCTGTCCTGGCTGTGTCCCCTCCCAACCTGTGCACCCCCAGCCTGCTCACTGCTGGAGTGGAGTGAGGAGCAGAAAAGGCCTTGACTTGTGCAAGTGCTGCTCAGCAACAGCTGAAGCACCCCTGGGTTATCAACATGGTTTTCGTCACAAATCTAAAACACAGCCCCATACTAGTTACTATGAAGAAAATTAACTCTGTCCCAGCCAAACCCAGTACATTGAGGAGACTTTAGCCCAGAAACATTCTAGAACACTCTGGGTATTCTAAATGGATGGCTTCTGAAAATGGAGAATGAGCCTGTCATACTAGATCCTAATGACCCATGGGGTACATCTTCACCCTGTGCAGCCGTTCTGTTCTGTACCCATACGTAGCCTCACTTACCCAGCCCTGCCTGGCCTGCATACAGTTTAATCTTCTGTGTTCTCTTGCTGCTGGATAAATTGCCCTGTGTTAGTACAGTTATGATTACTAGTATAAGTAGTATGACGAGAGCCACAAAGATGATTAAGGGATTGAAACATCTGGAGGAGGGGTGGGGACTGTTCACCCTGGAAGAAAGTTCAAGGAGATTCTGTCTATGTGTGTCAATCTATGTGGGGAAAGTAAAGAAGATGGAGCCAGGCTCTACGTAGTGACAGAACAAAAGGCACAGGCACAAGTTAGAACATGGAAACTCCTGCTTGAGTTGGGTTTGGTTTGTTGTTTTTTTTTCTTGAAGGAGGGGTGAGGCCTTTTTTTTTGTTGTGGGTTTTTTGTTGTTTTTTTTTACTGTGATTAAACTCTAAATGGGTTGCCCAGAGAGGTGGTAAAGTCTCAGTCTTTGCAGGTAGTTAAAGTTTATTCAGACATGATATAGGGCAACCTTCTATAGAATCATAGAATGGCCTAGGCTGGAGGGGACCTTAGAGATCATTTTAATCCAGCCTCCCTGTCACCAGGGACGCCACCTCTCAACTAGATCTCGACTATAGGTGGCCTTGCTTTGAGCAGGGTGTTGGACTAGACAATCGCCAGAGCTCCCTTCCACCTTCAGCCATTTTGGGTTTCTGTGACTGCTTGGCAAGTAAGTTTATGTAGTTCACTAGTTTCTGTGTTGGTTTTCTTAATGTTTTCTCTCATCTAGGAGTGTGTATGCTGGTCAGTAAGGACATAATGTCAGTTTTGCTGGCTATCAGTTTAACATGTCTAAAGAATCACATGATACATGTTATTTTTCACTTATTCTCTGAGTTTCTCTTTTTCTGGAAACTCTGAAAGAGTTGAGCAGTGCGAACAATGTGACTTGGGCCTTAATGAGATTGAGAATTTTGCTTTGAAAGGAGATAGTAAAACATTCATTATTTCCTCTGATAACAGATTTTGTAGAAAAGGACTTAGGCCCAGGGCAAAGTGAGTTACATTCAACTGAGAAGAAGCTTTTTTGGTTTTAATTTCTTGCTCCCTAGAAATTTCATGCTTGCTGCTGATTATATTCTTTCATTTCCTTTACTAACTGTGTCATGTCCATCTAGTAGTTTTCTTAGGAGCTGGCTGTAGTTAGCAATTACACCGTTCAGACCAGCTGTTTCAGTTGTTAGCAGTTTCCAGCCAATAATGGAACGTTCTTTGGTCATTCCAAATCACAGAGATATGATGAGGATCCAATTATGCTTTATTTAGCTTTTTTAAGGGTCATTATTAATGACTAAGACTATGTAATTATGATATGACCTGACACAAAAGAAGCATTTTTAAAAAAATACAGTTATTCCTACTGTCTTTGTTATAAACTATGAGAATAGCTGTAGGTGTGTGTGTCGTGGGCTATAACTTCTCTTCAAAATCGTAGTACTTGACAGTTCCTTCATTGCACCCACCTCTGCCAGACCACGTCTCATGTTCAAGCTGTCTGATCAATATCCATTTGTTTTTATTTATTACGGCTGACACGTTTTATAAATGGGATCGTGCTTCCTGTTTGAATTAAAAAACAGTCAGAGTCTTCTGACCTAGAGATAATCCAATAGAATGTTTTAGTTATCTGCAGTGGCCTTTGGTCTTCCTCCTTTGCAGCTTCTGTCTACTTGGAAGAAACAGTTGCATAAATCTCCACCTTGGTGCTGCATGTGATATGCTGTTGTACTTGTGGAATATTTTGTTATTTTAAAAACAAATTGAATAGCTTTGTGCAAATAATTTCATTTTGCAGACTGTTGGAGGAAAACTTGGAGTTTTGACCATTTAAGGAGGACTGTACTTGCCTCCTTTGAGATGGGAAGTTTAGGAACAATGTTGAGGACTTAATTTTGTAAAGTAGCACTGAAGGCTTTGAAACAGTTTTTGTCTAAGAAACAAGTATTTTTGCTAGGGTAAGGCCAGAAGTGTTGATTACATTCTTCAGTCCAGCTGACTTGTGCTTGCCAAAATTCATGCTGGCGGAAAAGAAGAAATTATGGCTTTAACAGCCTTTCTGTGGTGCTACTCTGGACTGACTTACACTGGGCCAATAAAATGTTGTCACTTGGCTCTACCACCTAACCTAGTGTGACACCCACCCCTCAGGTTTATACATATCTGAGGGGTGGGTGTCAAAGGGAAGGGGACAATCTCTTCTCAGTGGTGCCCAGCAATAGAACAAGAAATAATGGGTTTAAGTTAGAACATAGAAAGTTCCAGCTCCAACATGAGGAGAAACTTCTTCACTGTGAGGGTGACAGAGCACTGGCACAGGCTGCCCAGGGAGGTTGTGGAGTCTCCTCCTCTGGAGACTTTCAAAACCTGCCTGGACACGTTCCTGTGTGGCTGCCCTAGGGGATCCTGCTCTGGCAGGGGGGTCGGACTAGATGGTTTCTACAGGTCCCTTCCAACCCCTGACATTTTATGATTCTGTGAGTCGCTTGCCATTCGTGGAATAGGTTTGGAAGGAAGAAAGGTTAAGGGGACTGCTGATGCAGGATTGAGGGATAGAGCATAGACCTTGTGTGAATGTCCTTCAGATGAGAATGCTCAAGTGACAGGCAGCTTATTTGAAAGCCTCGTGTGGGAAATGAAAATGTGGAGCTCCTCCTATACGTGGACGCGGCTTTGTGGCACCAGCACATGAAAGGTGAAACAACTGGATGAGGAAGGATGGAAACGAGAGGCTTCAACACTGCCCTGATCATTCACACATATGTATGGCTATAGCTAGAAACATTGCTGTTAAGTGTTCTTACTTCTGAGCTTTATGTTCCAAGTTTACCCAGATGTCGGTAATTAAAAGGCCGAGTATATTTTTGGAAGGAGAGCACTTCTCTGTGTGTTTCTACTCACCAAGTGCTGTCACCAGGCATTCGTTAGTTCCTTGTAATTGTCAGGTTCCCATCGAAGCATCGCGCTTGTCCCGGTATTGTAGCAAGTGTGTGTTAAGGAAGGCAGTACTGACTTCAGATAGAAGAGCCGAAAGCGCCAATAAATGCATTTACTATTTAGACCGCTCATGTCTGAAGGTTTACTTTAAATGAAACAGAAAGCCTTTCAAAGAATCTCCAGTTGAGACAGTTCTGTGCAGCAAGTATTTGTTCGATCGTGCTAATGTGTTTATGGTAGTGCTTTAGAGTTTTTAGTAATGGAATGTAAGTGGTACGGTTTTTCTTTTGGCTAGAACATAGCTTTAAAATTTGTAGGCCAGAATCCCCAGCGCTGCAGGAGAGTAGTAAGATGTTGCCTTTTTGTTACGGGGAATGACTCATCTGTAGAATTTAATGCCTCTCAACCTTTAAATCAGCTGTTGGGGAAAAGCAAAAAGTCACATTTAAAAATAAGTTTAAAAACAAATAAAAGGCCCAGACCTTTACATCTTGTCTTTTAAACATGTTTAGCCTGGATTGTTTTACATATTACTGTCTGCACTTTCAGATGCAGCTGTCTCTTCTAGCTGATTGTATTCAGTTGCTGCCAAAAAGTTGTTGTCAGATACTTGATTCCCTTAACTCCCCTCCCTCTCCTGAAAATATGATGAGTCAACTTCTGTTATATGGATATTGCTTTAATTTGTAATAGGCCAGTTGATAAAGCAGAAGGCAGTCAAAAAATGTAGCTAAGAAACCTTGCTTTACTATCATAGATGCATATGAACCTGAAAAGTGATTGTAAGCATTACAACTTCAGTGTTCTTACAAGTAGTTGGCATGTGCTTGCTATAGATTATATCACTTAACCTAGTATTTTAATTATGTGTAAATGGAGATACATTTTAATCAACTGTTGAAATAATGAAGTAACTGATTATACGAGTCTGTTTTCAGTATTAGGGTACTAGAAAAGTTTTATTAGGTCATTTAATGTTGCGGGAGAAAGCTTGTTGGAGTTTTTTTAAGAACATTTTCACACTTTTAAATATGTTAGCCCTGCTGATGTTTTGGGAGAGATCGTTTCAGCATTTTACTCTCCTAAATATGCGTCTTTATGTAGCCAATGGCAAGTTAGGCAGCTAATTAGGCAATGGACGTCCAAGCGGTTTCATGGGTTTGGCTTTTAAGACATTTAGTATTCTATACCATTAGCTTGCAGAATAAAGTATCTAAGAGTGATTTTTTTTTTTTAATTATTTTTTTTTTCCTAACACAACCACCACACCACCCCAGTATCCTAGAAATATGCATTGCATTTTTTTATTACCCTTTGTTTATTGCTCTTTGGCCAATTTCTGGGCCATGTCACTTGTTCTGTAAGAGCTAGCCTTAAGTATTTTTATTGGAATTATGAAATAATACCAAATACTTAGAATTCATTCCTATTCTCTCATCTAGCAACTGCTTTTTAGATACTACACACTGGTTTATTTGCTACTGTTACATGTTCAGATAGTGACTGTTTTCACTGTTGCATCTCAATAGCACTCCAGTTTATATTTTGCTTAAACATATCAAGGAATCATAATATTCACTTCTGTGATCTTATAAAGCTTGTGATATTTGAATTATAAGACTTAATTTGACCAGTATGTGTACAAGTTATAAAGTGCTATTTCTTACCTAACATTTTTTGTTTGTAAAACTATTCTGATTCTAAAGCATCTTATGCATTATTCTTAACTTCTGAAGTGTTAATGAACTTATAGTAGTTTTGTGTAACTTGTATACAGTTGATTGGGTTTTTTCCCAAGCACTAAGACAGAGATTACTGTCTTTTATCAAGAGCTCTTGGAGCACTGTTTTCAACCTTTTGGCCCAGCAGAAAACTTTTTTTCTCATTTAGAAATACCCAAACTTTTATTTGGCCAGAGCAAGGGTGTTTCGTAAAATACTTTGTTTTCTTGCCATAAAAACTCTAGGAAGCCCTGTTACGAAAGAAATGCTGTCAAGTGGCTTTTCCTCCTGCCTTTATCACTGATGTTCAATAACCATTCAAAACTTAGAGGGTCAGGTAAGAGCTTTCTTAATAGAGCAGTGGCATTATTTCTGATTAGCCTCCAATATGTTATATTTGCTGAGAGCTCCGATGCATTTTTTTTCAGTTGAATTATTTTGTTTTGATTTGATTTTGTGGTTCTGTCATCCTTTACAAAAGGGATCTATTGTTTTTTTCAAGTTTAGTTTAACCAACTAAGTCTGCTAATGGATCCACTGAGAAGTATTTGCTGATCTGTTTTGCTTTAGGAAAATATCCAAAATAATTGGATTGAGAATGCAGCATGCAAAATATTTTTCCAATAGCAGTATTTGGAAAATCTACATGTGAATGGTGCTGTATGCTCATTGTTGCATATGTGTGTGTGTTTTAAGCTACAACAGCTTAAGTGAATGCTTCAACATGACAAAATAAGTACTTGAAGGCAGAACAAGAATGAGGAACTCTTGAGTGCTTGGCATTTACTTTAGAGCTTCAAAATTACACCGTTACATGCTTGATAATTAAGCTTGTTATTTCTATTTTTTTTTCCTCAGTCTTTGAAGTACTGATCCTGCAAAGACTTGTGCATGTGTTTAATGTTCAGTGGAAATGTTCAGACAGCTAAAACAAGTCAGATTCTTCAGACTTTGCAGGATTCGGATCTCAGACTCCCTTAATGTTTATATTCTTAGTAAATACTTAAATTTCATTGCTGTAATGCAAAATATTTATTTCTGAATGTATTTGATGCGGTTTTGTTAGCTTTTCATAATGGGATATTTTAAGTGGACATTGGGAAAATGTGTCTTTTGTTGGAGGAGTCAGAGGAAAGGAAAAATTCTGTAATAAGTGAGGCGAAATGAAGAGTAAACTCTGAGATGTCATAAGCTTTGCCAACAACAAAAAAACCACATATTCACCAACTTTGCTACTGTCACTCTTCAGTAAATAATAATTTTTTAAAAGCTATTTACAGTGAGTGTTCCAAAGGAAGTATGTGAAACAATGTCTTGATTGCACTGATTCTTAGTGCTGTAACCAGTGAAATGGTAACACCCTGAATGTTGTCAGTGTTTGGGTGTTAAAGACCTGATTTATTTTACCTCAGCTCTTAAGTAGACACATTCATTTATGCATGTTATTTATAGCACTGACAAGTATCGTAAGCTGTCTCTTCAGGATCTTTTTAAGAGGAGCTCTTTTTATAAAATCTTTGTAATAGATTACCAATAGTGAGGACCCGACCCAAAACCCGAGGCTTGTCTTCATGCTTACATGTCTTCATTGCTTGTTTATAATTATGTGCCTTTTTCTGTGTGTGTATCGTTCACTCGGTACTTCCATATGTGTTTCTGCAGTAAGTTTGTGACTTCCTAGGAATAAAAACTCTCAACTGTGTCTTTGTTTTTGTGGGTAAAAGATATACCTGCCTGGTTCTTGGTTGTGGTTTTTTTAAGTTTGGGTTTCGGGGTTTTTTTTGTATGCCATACGGTTGCCTCTAGCAAACGAAAATCCAAAGAACTTAGAAATATAATTACTAAAAAATTAGAATAGTGGTATCTTTGTTATGCAAGATGTTCTGAAGTCAAATATATTCATGAAGTCAGAACTACTCTCTAGGAAGTTCATGTTTATAACTACTGTTGTGAATCATCTGTTTTACTACATGGCTTGCAGTTTTCTATCTTGTGTAAATGTTTTACTTTAAATCAATTCTGCTACTTGAACAGAATTTGCTATTACTTGTTAAGCCTTGTAAGATTAATATTTTAATGTCTAATTTGTGTTTCTTTTCATGCTGTAGGTTTTGACTTTTGCTTATAAGCATGCATTGGTAAATAAAATGTATGGGAGAGGTCTCAAGTTCGCCACAAAACTTGCAGAAGAGAAGCCAACGAAGGACAACTTGAAAAATTGCATTCAGGTAAAGTAATGGGCTATAGTCATGCGGAGTAAGCTTTTAAAAGTTTTGAATTTTTAATACCTTTAACAATGTTTTAACAAGTTGTATAATCTAAACATTTTAACTTTATCCAGCCTTTGTGGCTTGTCTTCCATTTCTAGTAGTGATTTCTTCTTTCTTTTTCACCAAGAATAGCTAGTTTGTTCGTTTTTAACAGATTTACTTTTTGGGACTTAATTTGGGTCATTAAGAAGGTAGAGACAACTTAGCCGAAGGTCTTCTCTATATTTAAAATCGCATTATGTTGTACTTTAACACCTGTTATTTTTACTAGTATTAATCAGCATTATTGTTAGTAGAATAGGTAGAGAATTAACAGAGATTTCTGTAACCTCTAGGACAAAATTCTGGGCATTGAGTTGAAACACTTCAGGTCGTACAGAATGGTTTTCCTTTTCCTCTTTCAGGACTAAGTAAATCAAAGATCACCAGTTCTCCAATTTGTTACTGTTCTGATAAAGAACACCTTTAGTAAGGTGTTGATATCAGTGCAGTGTTTATTGGAAGGATTTAGAATTTACAAAGATTAAGACCCTATTGCTTCTCTCTTGTATTAACATTTCCATTTTTTTCTTCAGCTAATGAAGTTGCTTGGATGGACTCACTGTGCAACTTTCACTGAAAATTGGCTTCCTGTCATGTATCCACCTGATTATTGTGTATTCTAGAAAACCAACAATTGCAAACTTGAATTGATTTTATATGGGGCAGGATATTAAAAGATAAGTTTGACTTTTTATTGGAACGCATGTTTTCATTACTGAATGCTGATTATTAAATTGTGTGTATTTATCAGTAAAGGCACCTGGATACAGCTTAATACCTGTTGACCTGACTCCTGTCATCAGGGAGTTTCCTTTTTGTGCATCCCATTGCTGGCAATGGATGTGCCAGAACTGCCAACACCAAGGATTTGGAATTAGGCTGGGAAGGTTTACTGCATGCATGTTAAGTTCTTAAATGTTACTTTTAACTGCAAATCTGTAAAAGCTCTGTATTTTTTACAGTAAACTGAATTTTAACATGTTGGATCTTAATTTCAATTGTATGAAGGCCTTAAAGCTACTTCAAGAGTAGCTACAATTTTATTTATTAGACTAAAATAACAGGACATCATTACTTGTATTGTTTGCAAGAGTTTACATTTAAATTTTTTTTTAAGAAAAATCCAACTTGTCAAATTGTTACAATGCGCAACTCGGAATTGCTGATGCATAGGTGCTCTTATAAATCTTCATTTTGGAGTGATTTTGGGCAAACTCAAAAATCCATGTGAAATTGAGTATCGAGACAGGCTGGTATGTGTATAAAAGTGCCAGACAGTTAAATCTTGATCAGATACTGTAAAGCTATACATATATGTTTAATAAAGTTAAAAATGTAAAACCCAGCAGAATAAATGTGCGAAATTGAAGATCAAAAAAACCCACCATGTGCACTCTGATACTTTAAAAGATTATTTTATAATTAATAAAAACAAATAATGAAGCTAAAAATCGTACTGATTTCTCAAAGACTGAAACTTGGCGGGGAAAAAAAAAGCAAACCACCTTACAACAGAAGTTCAGTGCATTTCTGAAGATCAGTGCTTTTCCATAAAGCCTTTTCTCTCACTTTTGCTGCTTGCATTGTTCCTTCAGCAGACTGAAATTGGTCTTTTTGAGCAGGTCAGATTTGTCAGCCTGAGACAAATTGCTGTATCGTTTGTCTTGCCTTTTTTTTTTTTTTTTTTTTTTTTTTTTTTTTGTAACTTGTAATGCAACACTCAGGTGCAACCATAACTTTACAAACATAAACACACGGCAGGTGCACGATAACGCTGCAAAATGTCCCACACTGCAAGGTGCTGCTGCTAAATCAAAATAAGTAGTCATTTCCTCTTTAATTCTCTCTTGCTGTAGCTTTAAACAGCTTGACATTTGATTCTGGAAATTCTGCTAGAATGGTTGTGTTAAATATATCGCAAAGTTTTTCCAAAAATTCGTAGTCGGTACTGAATCTGAATTTATTTGCCCATAGTAATACTGTTCCAGGCTTACAAAAATACACCATTGTTGCTAGCAGGGGTTCCAAAGCTGCGTGATGGTATACGACGTCAGTTGCCAGTACAAAATCATAATGGTAAGTTGACAGAGGAAATTCTTCCTTGAGGCCTTCTCCCCATACCAGTTTTCTCACTTCAGGTTTGTGCGTATTCACATTCTGTGTATTTCTTGAAATATTGTATGAGAGATTCTCAAGGACTTCAGGCAGATCAGTAGCTGTAACGTAAGCTCCTAAAGGAAACATGGATTTGTTTCAATTTGTAGGTGTGTAGTTGAACATATATATAAAATCCTGAGCAACATGATTTCCTCATCTTCCCCCTCACCAGTAACTAAGGTAGTTATTTCATTAACAAAACAGCATTTTAAAATAATTCTTAATTTTTGAAAAAGCAGTCACGTTTACTTCAACTGTTGCTTCATTGCCTTAGAGTGGCAGTGGCAGATCTTAGATCATCTTTCACAAGACATCCAAAAGGAAAGACAAATACTAACCTAAGATACAGGCCACAATGGAAACCAAACCTGTTCCAGCGCCGATTTCCAAAACATTTTTGTCTTTGAGGTTGAATTGTTCTTGATTTGATTCTAGATATTGAGATAAAGCCAGGGCCTAAAACAGTTAGCACATATGCATAAGAGGGTAACAGGTAAGTTGCACAAAAGTTTGTTAGATGTTTTTATACAGATTTTTTTTATATACAATGAAAAACACTGAAGGCTGTAACATAAAAATGTAATATGGAAAGAATAATGATGCATTTTTTATATTTAAAAAAATTTGAAGCAGCTTATTTTTAGTTTTAGATTTATGGGATATAGATTTGCTACATAATGCTATACACTGTGAGTCCTCTGACAGCTCAAGGTATGCAGTATTTAAATATAAACCGTACAGTCAGAACAGCAAACGAGGTTTAACTCTGTAAAAAGTAATGTTATGGTTTATTAGCGCTATCAAAAAGTAGATTCAGGCTTCAGCAGAGATTTTTCTGAAAATTGATTTATTTTTGTGGTGTGGTTTTGTTGTTGTTTTTTTAAAGGGAGTATCAAAAATTTGTAAACTACCAACTCAACACTTGTCTATTGATAATAGTGTAAATTAACAAAAAAAAAAACCTGCACCGTATGGTGGAAGGCATCGCTTATCAGACCTTGGTAAAGCTCTTTTCAACAGAATGTAAACCAATGCCAAAGAAACTAATTTCCTCTTTTGCTTCTCTTCCTCAGAGTTGCTTTACTGTTTTTTAACTGTTGTGCTTTTTATTATACCCCACTGGCGCTCTGCTCTGGCAAAGCTGACAGCTCATGAATCACCAGACCAATCTGTACAACCTCTCGCTTTTCTTGGAAAGTTTTACCGTCTGCATTCTGACACCTGATTAATGTGAGAACTGATGATCTGACATTTTAAAGTAAGATACCGTTTCACGCACCCCTCCGTTCTCTTTTTCTTTATTGTCTTGAAATTGTCTGCTGTTTTCTGTGAGCTTTTTCAATAAATGTGGATCGACAAAAATTTTGAAATTGTAATTTTCTTGTCTTTATCAGTTCACCCTCTTTTCCCTTAAAACGCAATTTTCTCAGTCCACGCAAAGTTCAGTTTTTAAGAGCAGTAGAAGCAGAGACTGAAGAAAAACTGTTTGCAAGTGTGGTTTTCCATACTACAGTGGAACTGTTCCAGCCTGTTCTTTAGAAGAAGGGTGTTTTAATTGGTTTAACTCCCTTTTGGTCCCCCACAATTTTCTCTTTCAGCCTCCATTTGGTACCGGTTTACTTCTCTGCAGTGACTGACTGGAAACATTGAGGAAGCTGGATGCTTTTACTCAAGTTCCCTTTTTGATATTTTTGTTTTCAATATCTGATTTGTAAATATTTAGATGCCACAGTTCTTTTGGTGTCAGCTGGCAAATTAGCGTGAGGCCTAGCTTTCTGCTGGAGTACTTCACAACAGGGAAACCTCTGCAGTCAGAAGCGTTAACTTAAGAAATCTTCCGTAAGATTTGTGTGCCGCTGTCACGGTTTGCCCTTCTGTCGCATCAGCTTTCTGGGTGCTGTCTGACAAACTTACCCCCGGCCACACCACGGCCCCGAAGTGTTCTATGGACTCCTGGATGACAATCCGGTGGCCAACGTACGTGTAGTGCTCTTTATCGAAGTAGTGCGAAACCCTGGGAACCCAGTTCTGTAGTATTTTAAGAATTACTGGGGAGCCTGTGAGAGAAAAGACAGAACCTGCTTTTGGTTTTTTTTGAATATGCAAATATTCATAGGCATGTAGGTGAGAGTTTTCAGGAGGACTCTGCTGAGCTGCTCCATGCGGGCATTACCCTGAATGGGTGCACTATTGTTGAAAGCCCGTTAGCAGGATATGCACAGATGACAGAGTCAACTTTTGAGGGCGGAGAAAACTTTTGCTCCGTCTCATGTGGACTTTAATTGACGCTTGCCTGGAATCCTTGGTTTGAGCAGCTGAGCCTGCTGAAATGCGTAATACCACAGGTCCAACAGGGCCTTTACAATTAATGGATATTATAATAATAATATCTTGGATTGTAATTGCGAGGGAGTTCTCAGATGTCTAAATAAAACTGAGAGACCTTTTTAAACATATATCTCAATTATGGAGATAGTTTGGGGTGTTTTTTTAGATTTGTCTAATAATAAATACTAAAGAGCAAATGATGGGGAGAAAAATAGGTATCAAAAAGATAAGTGACACAGTGTCATCTACTATTTGAAGACTGAGAAAAATGAAAGTATGAAATGCTAGCATGCTATAGCAGTTGCAATTTAAATTGGATTAAACCTGAGCTGGACTCTGGTGCTGATGTTTCATGCTTAGAGCTGCAAGTGCAGTTTTCAGAGTCACGCTGCTCTTCACGGGTTTCTTCTTCCTCTGTCTGGCAGTCCATTACACTCTGAATTTTGATGGGGAAGAGTGGCTGCTGTGCAGAGATCATTACAAAAGAGCTGAAATGGAAGGGGAGAAATACTGTTGTAAAAGCTCGCGGTCGCCCGGTTTGTGCAAGATGTGACTGGAAGAAGGTAGTGACTGGTTTGGGTGCGCTTTGGTTTGGGTTTGGTTTTTTTCAATGATGGGTTAGAGGGACAGGAAGCCATGGTGAGAGGTGACATCCCCACTCCACTGGACATTGCTTCAAGCACTTTCCTGGTGACGTCGTAATACTACCAGTTTTTATTTTATCATGCTTACCATATCTATTTTATCATGTTTATTTTAGCTTTTATGCAAAAACTTAGCATTATGTCACTGAATTGATGCCACTAATCAGTCTGACAAGTGAGCTGCTTGCATGGTACTAAACAGCTGAAACAACAACTGAGAAAGATGAACTGCCCTTTAACGTCTATTACTTTTTATCTGTGTAATTTACCATTTCCCAGAGAACTTGGGACTTGACATTCCTGCAGTAAAACTGGTTGATTGGCTGTGGCCAGCACTCTTGATTTTGTCTCCTTGGATACAGTTGCTTTCTCTGCCTTTTCCTGCAGAGCAGCTAATTGAATTACTCTGGAACGCAGTGAACTGCAGAGTATGCAGATTGCGCTCAGGAAATATAATTGCAGCAAGAAGTTGGAATCAGTCAGCTCTTTATTTTGGGGAGCTCTGTGTTACGAATGACTGTGCATCCTCAGGGCACAGTGCAGCGCCAACCTGGGAGCCAACTGACACCAGCTCAGGGGCAGTAAAAGCAGGAGTAGGGTCAGATCGAAATTTGCCTGCGGAGAATTATGCCAGTGAAACCTCTTGCTTAACTGGAGTTTTCTTCAGTGATAGCACCTATGTAAATGCATCTCTCTGTACGTGTGTATACATACACACATATATATGTGTAAAGAGAAAAAAAAATGGTTGATAACTTGCCCTGGCCAGAGGCTTTACAAGGTCACCCTTCCCAGGCAGCACAGTGGCTGGAGTCTGCTACGTTTTTATCCTTACCCCACTCATTCTTGAGAACGCATATTTGCTTGCTCTTTCCAGCTCCGTGCGCCACGAAGTGTTGTGTAATTTGGGTTGCATCATGCTGCAAGAGGTGGTTATATCCTGGTCAGGAGGGAGAGAGCTTTGGCAGCAGCCAGGAGATTCGGCAATGCTTGCAGGTAGTTTTTTAAGGAGCAGAGTGACTGCTGACTTGTGTGGGTGGTTTATTAGCCCACATGATACTGACACCACTGCAGTTTTACTGATACCTGATATATTCCTTTTGCTGCTCTGTTTATTCTTCACAAGGACAGGGTTTGTGTTCTAACTCCCCTGACACTGCATTTGTTCAGTCGTGGCAGCGATTTTTGTACTGCTGCAGAAAAGACCACTTTAAAGTGTTTTCTGCAGTTTTGTTTATTAATTTCTGGTTTTTTCCCATCGGAGGGCCTCCATCTAGCTAGTAACAAGTTCTGGCTATGCCCCATTTATGTATAATCCAATATATGATGACGGTAGATAAGGGACTGAAGTTAATGCTGCAGTTAGTGCATTCCCAGACATGTGGGTGAAGACATCGGTTTTTGTGTTCCACATGTGAAAATGTGCCTCCTTGAAAGAGCAATGGTTTCTCATGCAATCAAAAGTATACTTCCAGTTTTCAGCAATGACTCTTTTTCATGCCTTGAGCCAAAATAAAATCTGGTTGTATCTTAAGCATATTAGGATATCTCTGGGAAAACACATTGGGACTTGTGTACTTGGGAAGGTGCGTAATGAAAAGAGAAGACTCCGTCAGAACTGGTGATGGCTGCAGCCAGAAAACATTTGCTTGAAGTGCAAGTCCTGCACGTTTTGTGTTTAAACATGCAAAGCACTGCATTTTCAAATTTGTTTTTTCGAGGTAGATTTGTTTAATAAGGCCCTTGTAACATGTAATTTGTTCTATTTAAGTGAGAAGACAATCCTGAACTTAAAAAGCACCAGGAACCGTTACCTTGTCTAGCAGTCTTTTATGTAAAAATAAAAACCCAGAAGGTCTTGTTTAATGAGCAAACTGTTTAATTTGTCAGTAGACAGGAGAAAGTGATCCTCCTGTATTTGTTTTTCCTTGCCTAGACACGTTCTTACTACCGCCTTAAAAAATTTCAATTACATGTGAGTAGTGATGAATACCAGAAAACACCTTGGAAACATGCTTAGTAGATAGATATTTGTTGATCCACTGTCAAGTACTTGCAGTAAATACAACTGTGTCTCTGATCGTGATCTCTGTCTGCACGCTTTCAGTACAGGCTGGATTCTAAATTCAGTTAGACATGTTTTCAAATAAAGATTTGTTTGATCCTTTCAGCTTCTCTAGAGTAAAAGTATACTTAAATATTTGTGACAACTTTGCCATTTTTATTAAATCCCTTCTTAAAATGAGCAGGAGATCTAAAAAACACCGAGTGGTTCCACTGGTACCGTGGTGAGACTGGTGTGATCCTTAATTCCATCAGGTGCCTGAGCTCTTAGATGGTAAATTGGGGGGATAAAGATTATGCACTCTACATTTGTTCATTTATGGGTAGGGATGCCATACTAATACCAGCATCTTTTCATAGATGTAGTTTTGCTAAATAGAGTTTGTGTGTGGGTGTATATATATATATATATATACACACATACATATGTAACATGGCTAAGTTGCTGCTCTGCTTCTAGAATTGTAAAAATTGACATTTCTTACTCTTGACATTTTGCTGATCCATATTTTACTGAAACTGATATATCTCTAAGAGAATTTTGATTTAATAATTTCGCAACTAAGATCTGTTGCCTGAGAAAAATATTGGCTCTTTCTGAATGGTAGCAGCCGATTTCTTTCTGGAATGATCCTGATGGGAAATAATCATCTAAATTCTATGCTTTCCGAAGTTTTTAAACCAGTATTGACTTCATTAATAGTCTTAAACTGTTGTGAGCAAAGTAACTTACAAAATCACATTTGATTTCTTCAGAACCTAAGAAAAAAGAGTAATTCACAAAATTATATCTATTTGACAATAGCATGTAAAATTAACAAGGTAATTAAGCACCGAAGGGCAAATTGCAAAATGTCGTTAAACTTTAAGATAACAGTTTATCCCCTGTAAGAATAAACTTTGTGCCTCTCAAAATTCCCAAATCTATTACTTGGAAAGAGCTTTTCAAATCTGATTATGTGGCCCAAATAAAAGTAGGTTAGTGAGCAGTACTGTGTCACTGGGTCTTCAGCTGTGAACACAACTGCTGAAATGTGTTTCTCTCACCCCTGCACGAAGCTGCATGGCGTAGCCTCGTTTAGTCTGAATTATTTGGGTAGAAGCCAGTTCCATTTGCTCGCGTGGGAAGTGAAATTGCAGTGTCCTTTGCAAGACAGGGCTTAGCCACATGCTCATTCCACGCACAAACATCCACATTTCTTACAGCTCGTGCCATTTCCTCATGATATCATGCACTAAATTAAATATAAATATATATA